ATGTTCCAGACATTGCAGGTTTCCCTCCATCAACAGCAGTCAGTGTTAGATGAATGACAGGCTGTTTTTCTCGATCTAAAGCTTTAACCAGAACCAGTTCGACAGTGACACTCTGTTCGACGTTCAGCACACCCAGAGAAAAGTGCTCGTTGGGACTAAGCTTGTAGGTTTTAACCGCATTGTTGCCCGAGTCTGGATCTTCAGCCAAAGGAAGAGAAAATTTATCTCCAGGAGACGAGACTTCCGTTATATTCAGTATCTGACTGCTTATAGGAAACGATGGCGCGTTATCGTTGATGTCAATTATATTTATTTCTATTCTATACAGGCTCAATGGATTATGGGCCATTGCTTCTAAAAGCATCGTGCATTTCTGATCAGTAGAACAGAGCAATTCTCGATCAATTCGATTATTCACAAACAGAGTCCCAGTCTTTAAATTCACCCCAAAATACCTTTTGTTGGTTCCATATACAATCTGAAACATGCGAGGTTCCAGTTCCTGCACATTGATGTGAAGATCTTTTGCTATATTCCCGACAACGGTTCCCACATTCACTTCCTCCAAGACGGAATATGCAATCTGACCGGAAGATAAAGTCCAACAATAAGACAGCAGAATCGCAGTCCATATAGATCCAACATATTGATTCATCTCTGCTTAAAACCAACAATTCAAGATTTAAACGAAACAAATAAACACTGAACCAAAACAAGCAAAACCAGCTCGAACAAGGTTCACTACACAACCGCAGAAGACACCGCTGATTTGAGAAGGTTAAGATTGGTGCTTTGGAAGGAGGAGACATACAAATAAGCCAGTAATTTTTGGTCTTGCAAAATTTTCACGGTTAACAGCGGCTCCAGGTGGTTTCTAATGGAATTGTAGTGCGCTATTAAAGTTGCTCCAGGAAAAGCTTCAAGTATAAAATTAAACGAAATAAACACTGAACCAAAACAAGCAAAACCAGCTCGAACAAGGTTCACTACACAACCGCAGAAGACACCGCTGATTTGAGAAGGTTAAGATTGGTGCTTTGGAAGGAGGAGACATACAAATAAGCCAGTAATTTTGGTCTTGCAAAATTTTCACGGTTAACAGCGGCTCCAGGTGGTTTCTAATGGAATTGTAGTGCGCTATTAAAGTTGCTCCAGGAAAAGCTTCAAGTATAAAAGGACATAGAAACTCTGTAAAGTGTATTTTTTTAAACGCACTTACACGACACAGTAGAATAGAGAGGCAAAGAAGGGCTTGTGTGATGATGAGATTATCTTAAATATCAGGTTAACTGTCCACTATCAGTTTACACACTGAATAGGCCTATCCGTAACATAAACAAGTGTAAAGATTTTGCAAGCGGTAAAATAAACGAATAAATAAATAAATCAGCAAATCCTTAAAGCAGTAAACCTTAGCTCAGTGGGTTCATGTTTAAATCGTTAACAAAACAAACTGTAATGATAAAAATTCCAGTTGTATAAGAGAAGACATACACAATTAAAACAACTGTCGCTGTCCAGTGAGAAGTTCTGAAATTCAAACAGGAAGTCTGCTTTAGAAAATCTTTTAAGAACAGAACGAAAATTCGAAAGAAGAAGAAGTATTTGAACACGTTTTTTATGACAACTTGTGTGGACTCATTTTAATTGCAATAATAACAATAATAATAATGATAATAATAATAATAATAATAATAATAAAAAAAAAAATAATAATAATAATAAATAGGCTAAATAAATCATGCAAAGCTCTGTCCCACATTTTGTACTCCATCCTGCTACAATTTTACGGTTAAAATAAAATAAAATAAAATAAAATAAAACTGTGACACCAAGGACGTAACATTATTTGGAATCGTTTACATCAATGAGTGAAATGAATATCATTCCATTTAGTACGTTTTTTAAAAAATATTTTGTTGATTGCGTTTCTCAAAGATATTCAGCCTCTCAGTTCTGAACATTTAGACTTATAATTTATATGAAATGTGAGTTGCAAACTAAATAGAAAATGAAAATACTATAAAGCAGCAATTTTTTGTACACTATTGGTGGAAAGCGTGGAAAATAATAAAACAATCCTCTATCATTGGTGGCAACTTGTCAGCACATCATGATATTCCATTTCAGAAAAAATGCAACCGGATTGGTTTCGAATGAAAAATATCTTAAAAGTATAACAAAAACGTAACAATGAGCTTTTTACCACAAACAAACAATGAGACATAGCTATATCTATTTATTTATTTCCCCCCAATGAAAGGAGTAGGTGCGCGTAAAATATTTTTTTCTTCTCCTACTATCATTTGTAATAACATGAAAGACAGAGTTATGAACACATAATGAAAATTAAATGTAATGACAGCTAAACAACTTCTTAAAGCTTGAAAATGTGTTTCAAATAAATAATATTACATAAAGAGAAATCACCAACATCTTACCTTCTCGGAGGTAGGAAGAGTCTGTGTGCGCGTAAAAGTATCTCCACTATTAATGCTGATCAGCTCCGCGTCTGCTGGCGGAAATGGCGAGGGGAAAACGACTACGTCACTCTTTATTGTGTCCGAACTAAAACACACGTCGTACTGTTGTGTGGATTTAGAGAAGGACCAGCTTCCGTCTGGATGTGTGCTGATCACTGGAGCGCTGTACCTGCTGAAACTGCCGTCTGTCCTGTAGCATTTAACTGCTATCAAACCCACCAGACTCAGTAAAAAGATGACTGATACTGAGACAATAGCGATGAGCAGATACAGATTCAGATCTGAAAAACTCTCCTCTTTAACAGGAACTTCTCTGAATGATGTCTTTATGTCATCCAGACTCTCAACAACCACAACATCCATGGACATAGTCGCTGAGAGTGATGGCTCTCCATTATCAGACACTGTGATAAGAAGTGGGTGAGTTTTTAAGTCATTGTCACTCATTCGTCTCTTTGTCCTTATTTCTCCAGTGCTGCTTCCAATGCGGAAGAGATTCGTTCCTTTGGGTTCAGTTAGATGATAAGACAGAAGTGCGTTATATCCAGAGTCAGCATCAACAGCTCTGATCTTGGCTACAAAGTATCCCGCTTCAGCCGAGTAGGGAATGTTCTCACTATTAACTGATCCAGGTTCAGAATAAGGCGGTAAAATAACCGGACTGTTGTCATTCTCATCCAGAATAAACACATTTACAGTTGCATTACTGCTCAGAGGAGGAACACCAGAGTCTGTTGCCTTGACTTGAAAGTGTAAGGTTTTTACCTGCTCATAGTTGAAAGTCTGCATGCTGTATATTTCACCAGTCACAGAGTTTATGCTGATTGCTGTCGATAACGGGACACTGGGACTATCGAGTAATGAATAAGTTACCTGAGCGTTCTCTCCATAGTCATAATCTTGGGCAGAAACAGTCGCTATCTGACCACCAGCTGGACTATTTTCTTTCACGTAAACATTCATAGCAGAATCTTGAAATCGAGGCGCGTTGTCATTCACATCAGAAATATGAATTGCAATAACTGTGGTTTTTGATAGAGGTGGGGTTCCATCATCGGTAGCCGTAACTGAAATATTATACTGTGCAGTTTCTTCTCTGTCAAGAGTCCCGCTTAAAACAAGCGAGTAGAGCGAGTAGTGTGTAGTCTGTAATATAAAAGGAGAGTTTTGGGGAATAGAACAATGCACTTTTCCATTTTTTCCATTTTTTTTATCTTGGACCGTGATAAAGGCTATTACAGTGCCTTGTTTTGCATCTTCACTTACATCATCCAGCAGCGACGAGAGTGTAATGTCAGGAGCATTATCGTTGATGTCAAGTATCTCCATGAGGACTTTGCAATGAGATGCAAGCGGACTCTGGCCTCGGTCCCACGCCTCCACGCGGATCTCGTACGCATTGATGTCCTCATAATCCAAAGTGCCAGTAACTGTTATTTCCCCCGTGGTGGTGTTGACCGCGAACTTATCTGCTATTCCTTTTTGGCCTTGTTTAAATTTAAACACGACTTCACCGTTGAGACCCTCATCAGGATCAGTGGCATTAAGCTTTAGTATTGTAGTGCCAATAGGCGCGTTTTCTAAGACTTGAGCTTTGTACATAGTCTTGGAAAATACCGGTGCGTTGTCATTTACATCTAAAACAGTAACAATAACACTTGTAGTGCCAGATCTTGAAGGTTTTCCTCCATCGACAGCAGTTAAAACCAGCTGGATCGTAGACTGTCTCTCTCTATCCAACGCTTTTTGCAGCACCAGCTCTGGAGAAGGACCACTTTCTGCATCTGTATTCACTTCTAGGCCAAAAAACGGATTGTTTGACACTTTATATGTGGTAACTGAGTTGCTTCCCACATCTGGATCTTCTGCGCTAAGCAATGGAAATTTGGTTCCCGGTAATGTTAGCTCAGAAATGTGAATATATTGAGCTTTTTCGGCAAAATGGGGGGAGTTGTCGTTGATATCCGATATTTTTACTTCTATACTGTAAACATTCAAAGGATTATTAACAATGGCCTCCAGGCTTACTGTGCAAGTGTGAGTATTGGGGCACAGCTGTTCTCTGTCCTTTGTCTCTTTCACATAGAGAACGCCAGTTTTTAAATTCACGGCAAAATTATTCTTAGTTGACGCTGAAACAATCCTCAGCCCGCGCGCTTCTAAATCATCCACTTTTAGATTTAAATCCTTGGCTAGATTTCCAACAAATGTTCCTGGACTCACCTCCTCGGACACTGTATAAACAATCTGCCGCGACATCACATTCCCTGCTAGATAGGAGAGCAAGAATGTAAGGAGAATCCATACAAATGTAGCTTGTTTGAACGATCCCATCGTTTCAGTGTTTAAGTAGTTGTTCACAAACAGCGATTTGGTGAAGGTTTATCCAAAGAGAAAAAAAAATCCTTGCGGTCTTCAATCTCCTTCTCCAGAAGACAAAATTTATCCCCAACATGCTGGTCTTCAGTGCTTGTGTGTAAGGTGGAGCTCCACGGAAACACGACTTTCTTTGGTTTGTTAGTGGATAGTGCCACCATATGGTCATACTGTAACCGGACTGTTGTCATTCTCATCCAGAATAAACACATTTACAGTTGCATTACTGCTCAGAGGAGGAACACCAGAGTCTGTTGCCTTGACTTGAAAGTGTAAGGTTTTTACCTGCTCATAGTTGAAAGTCTGCATGCTGTATATTTCACCAGTCACAGAGTTTATGCTGATTGCTGTCGATAACGGGACACTGGGACTATCGAGTAATGAATAAGTTACCTGAGCGTTCTCTCCATAGTCATAATCTTGGGCAGAAACAGTCGCTATCTGACCACCAGCTGGACTATTTTCTTTCACGTAAACATTCATAGCAGAATCTTGAAATCGAGGCGCGTTGTCATTCACATCAGAAATATGAATTGCAATAACTGTGGTTTTTGATAGAGGTGGGGTTCCATCATCGGTAGCCGTAACTGAAATATTATACTGTGCAGTTTCTTCTCTGTCAAGAGTCCCGCTTAAAACAAGCGAGTAGTATTTCCCCTGTGTAGTCTGTAATATAAAAGGAGAGTTTTGGGGAATAGAACAATGCACTTTTCCATTTTTACCCCCATCTTTATCTTGGACCGTGATAAAGGCTATTACAGTGCCTTGTTTTGCATCTTCACTTACATCATCCAGCAGCGACGAGAGTGTAATGTCAGGAGCATTATCGTTGATGTCAAGTATCTCCACGAGGACTTTGCAATGAGATGCAAGCGGACTCTGGCCTCGGTCCCACGCCTCCACGCGGATCTCGTACGCATTGATGTCCTCATAATCCAAAGTGCCAGTAACTGTTATTTCCCCCGTGGTGGTGTTGACCGCGAACTTATCTGCTATTCCTTTTTGGCCTTGTTTAAATTTAAACACGACTTCACCGTTGAGACCCTCATCAGGATCAGTGGCATTAAGCTTTAGTATTGTAGTGCCAATAGGCGCGTTTTCTAAGACTTGAGCTTTGTACATAGTCTTGGAAAATACCGGTGCGTTGTCATTTACATCTAAAACAGTAACAATAACACTTGTAGTGCCAGATCTTGAAGGTTTTCCTCCATCGACAGCAGTTAAAACCAGCTGGATCGTAGACTGTCTCTCTCTATCCAACGCTTTTTGCAGCACCAGCTCTGGAGAAGGACCACTTTCTGCATCTGTATTCACTTCTAGGCCAAAAAACGGATTGTTTGACACTTTATATGTGGTAACTGAGTTGCTTCCCACATCTGGATCTTCTGCGCTAAGCAATGGAAATTTGGTTCCCGGTAATGTTAGCTCAGAAATGTGAATATATTGAGCTTTTTCGGCAAAATGGGGGGAGTTGTCGTTGATATCCGATATTTTTACTTCTATACTGTAAACATTCAAAGGATTATTAACAATGGCCTCCAGGCTTACTGTGCAAGTGTGAGTATTGGGGCACAGCTGTTCTCTGTCCTTTGTCTCTTTCACATAGAGAACGCCAGTTTTTAAATTCACGGCAAAATTATTCTTAGTTGACGCTGAAACAATCCTCAGCCCGCGCGCTTCTAAATCATCCACTTTTAGATTTAAATCCTTGGCTAGATTTCCAACAAATGTTCCTGGACTCACCTCCTCGGACACTGTATAAACAATCTGCCGCGACATCACATTCCCTGCTAGATAGGAGAGCAAGAATGTAAGGAGAATCCATACAAATGTAGCTTGTTTGAACGATCCCATCGTTTCAGTGTTTAAGTAGTTGTTCACAAACAGCGATTTGGTGAAGGTTTATCCAAAGAGAAAAAAAAATCCTTGCGGTCTTCAATCTCCTTCTCCAGAAGACAAAATTTATCCCCAACATGCTGGTCTTCAGTGCTTGTGTGTAAGGTGGAGCTCCACGGAAACACGACTTTCTTTGGTTTGTTAGTGGATAGTGCCACCATATGGTCATACTGTACAGGGAAACAAGAGTGTGAATTCTGTCTCGGAATATATGTATTAATGGCAAAACAATTTCGACAATATATAAATATTTATATAAATATATTTTGAATAGATCTGAATCATTTTATTTTCCCTGACATATATATGTGGGCCCTTTTGTATATTTTATAATCAGTCATTAAAAATAACATTACAAAATGTTCAAAATGTATAAAGAATATGTATTCTAAAATGTATTTAAAGAAATATATTTGTATATGTATTTTTGTCAAAATATTTTATCTTTCATAATGCTTTGACTGTTAATACATTATAATTGTATTTTTCTTTCTCGATTACTACCCTAAAACATTTTAAAGCGGTGGACTGATTGATTAGGCTATTTCGACATTAGTACAATTTTAAAATCATTTGAAATTTAAAGGTTTAAACTAAACTGTATTTCGTTAATAATATAGTTTGTCCAGAAGGGAAAAACACTATACAATTGATTATCATCACTATAATGCACAGTAAAAAATCAAAACAACATTGGACCCCACTTAAAAAAAAAATATATATATAATAATAATAATAATAATAAAAGCATTCTCCAAAATATATTTGTCTGTACCACAGAAGAAACAATGTCATACAAGTAGGAGGAACGACATGAGAGTGAGTAAATGATGACATAATTTGCAGCTTTTGGTCAACTCAGTTTATCCTTTTAAGTTTGCTAAATAGCCCCCACTAGTGCCAGTGAGATGTATAACACTGCCAAAGTGATACTGACGTTACACGTTTAAAAGGGCTGCAGAAATTCTCGTTTGCCTATGCCATGGCAAATTAAAACAATGCTAAATCATATGCTTGACGTTGAGGGCACCCTAATTCATGTATTTTCATACATTTTATTTATTCAGTAGTAGGTCAAAACATTATATTACTTGCAGTTTTGATGTTTTTAGTGTTAAAAAAACTTCTCTAAATCTTTCTTGTACTTAACATGTGGATTTTGCATGATCTTGGACTTCACACGTTCATATTCATTACAAGGCTAAAATGTTAAAAAACATAAACAGAACGTTTTGTTCAAGATCTTGCTTTGTAATGTCATTTTATAAAAACGTGTTTATAATAGTGTTTGACCTAAACATATTATATGCCATCAATTAATATTTTATATAATAAATTTCCTATTTACACAGAAATTACTTGTAGTAGACATTTTATGTACTTTATTATGTATTAACTGAAATATACACTCTCAGAAAAAAAAACTTAACCATATTAAAATGAAAAACAACTGGTAATAAAAACTAGCAAAAACAACAGAATAAGTAAAAGAAGCAAACATGCATGCAGGGAACTCAAGACAACTTACAGCATATTACAATTTACAGTGTTAAATTCATTACATTTAATGCAACATACTTGTGGTAATGGACAGTATGTGAGCATAAACCCAAGTAATAATTGAAAACTCAAATAAAATGTGAATCATAAGTTTGATTAATTAATTAAGCTCCAGAAAATCAATAATGTGGTGGCTTTGAAAGGATTTTTTGACAGTTACAGATTTAAAAACAAAATGTTTGGAATAAAGAATCCTAAACTCCAACACAAATAAATAAATAAATACATGCATACATACATACATACATATTCACAAACATTTTAGAAACAGTTCTTCAGGACAATATGATTTTTATTCTGTTTATGTTCACAATATGTAAGGAAACTTTAAAGAACCATCTTTTTAGAATGTTGACTACAATTAATAATAATAATAATAATAATTTTACTGTGTTTATTCAAGGTGCAAGAAAAGTACTGTAGTGCATTTTACTTGGTCACAACACTTGACATTTTTGGAGTTTAAATTTGATTACAACAATGAAAAAATAAATGTAAAAACATGCAGTGATGGCAGACTTGATGTTGCATGTGTTTTTAGTTGACACTTTGACCTCAACTACTTCTTCCAGAACATGAAAAACTAGAATAGCACAAAGTGGTGCCTTTCACCTGAAGACACCCACAGGGAAACAACAGTTATCATTTGTATGCACCAGATAGATCTGAGAGTTCTTATAACAACATGAAGAGACTACCAGTGCATCAAAACACAGGTACAGACTCATCTCATTATGTTAAGAAATACTAACACAAAGAGAGACATTTTCAGAGTCAGTATGATATCACAAAATTACGCAGAAAGCAACAATGAAAATCTAAATCTGATCTTTTGATTCAGGTTATGGAGGTCTGATGAGTTCAAAAACCTTTTTTTTTTCTTCTAGCAACTCGTTACATGAAATCTGTGTTTATTTGGATCATAGGACATTGTCTCTGAAACATCATGACATACTGTATATGTGATGTGTCTTTTAATGTTTTGATTTTGTATGTTTAAATTTTTAAGTACTTTGTAATGCCATTTTTCACATTAAATCTTTGAAGTGATGAACTCACCCAAGCAGAACAAAGAAAAAGAAGTGAAATAAGAGATTTCAAGTAAAATACATAATAAATTTGTTTAAGTAAAATCAGCAAAACTTGTATTTTGTGTGCAGGAGGACAGACACTTGGTATTAGCCGTTACATGCTTCAAACTAATTTGTTAAAGATCATGCTGTAAAAAATAAATGGTTGAGAAACTTTAAAAATTCAAGGCAACGTAATGTGTTTAGAATGTCCTATTGTCCTAATACTTTATTTTCAGTTTGAATTTGTTTGTTGACTAAATGCAGAATACCTCATTCAGCCAATACATTTTTCAAGACAACAACAGATTTCTTGTTCAACAAATTTTCATTTAGTAACAAAAAAAATATATATATATTTGTTATAAATTGATTAGTCACTAAATCTTTCTTCGTAAAAAAAAGAATAATAATCATTGCCATCCAGAATAAAAGAGAACATCCCAATCAAATGAAGGGATTTGTGGAAACTTCTTTAAGTCTGTCTAAATATCATTTAGTAATTGCAATGTGTTCTGATCCATATCCTTTCCTTAGGAAGGTGTGCTAGACACTGATTAATGTAACATAAAAATACTATACATATTTATATATTTTGCTATTGTATTATGGAGTGACACTTTCATAAACTTTTCTATACTGCTCTGATTATATAATGTGGCCTTCTCAGCTGCCATAGTTGCAACTCTTGCGTCATCAGAACAGGGTGTTCAACGCACCACCATTTCCGTTTAAAAAACGTTTTGCACCGTTTTTGTCGGGGCTGAACGCAGCCCTGCTTTAGCGTGCCTGTGGTCAGATACAGAACTGCAAACTGCACTGTCAGGCTATGCGTGTTAAATAGCCCCTACTAGTGGCAGAAATATGTATAACACAAATGCATGCATTACACAGAATCAGCAGAATTTCCCTTCTGTTCATTCAACACCATATCAGAATTCATAAGGTGTACATATCCTTGAACTGTAACTGTAATAAATACACAGACAAATTGTAGAAGCACACTTAAAAACACATTATAAATAGATGGCTTATTGGGTATTTTAATCATTTTAATATATTTTAAGAACATTGTGTATATTTTATTACTATCCCTTCAATTAGAAATTTGATGCAATATCTATTGGAGTTTACAGTACTCATTTGTATGTGAATCTGCATATGTGTTTCTAAAAGAAACGGATAAAGTGAGATAGAATAAATAGGCAGTTGGACAGTATGTGATGGGGAGCTAGGTTAAAAAAAGGTGTGCTTCTCAAAATCTGAAGAGATGGAGGTGTTGTCATGGCAACTGTTTCTATGGAGACAGTGCTGCCTAGGTCAGCACCAATGAAGCGGTGTGTTTTGTCATTATGTGACCATATATCCTCACACACTCACAATACAAACACCTCAGAAATATACTGTAAAAGCTTTTATTCACATTGCAGTATTTACAAGCAAAGGGCAAATCATAAAGTCCAGCAAGGATACAAAGGCATTGTGTACTGTTTGCATAAGGACATTTCGCAAGTAAGGCAACAGAAATACAAATACTGAAATGAGATGAAATCGTGACGTATATGCTGATAGTATTAACATACTGAACTTCATTCCATTTTTTGTCATTTAAAATTTTCAGGCACACTTTTCTCTGCCCTAAAGCAAACAGCTAAAGGCACAGCATTTTTTACTTGTGTCATGTATCTCTAAATTCTTAAATCTGCTGCCAGGTACTCCAATTTGAGCTGTCACCTTTCAGAAAGTAAGTTAAACTGAATTACATGGCTGTCAATACGAATGGCAACTTGTAGTATCATTCTGTGTCCTGGTATCCGGATGTGTCAATCTAAATACAAATCACATGTTTCAAGTGAGCTATATTGCTGTTTTCTCTCTCTCTCTTTCTCCTTGTTCCTCCTACACCACTTTTTCTTGCACTATTGTCATTCCTTTCCACCTTCCCACTCACTTCAGAAGCTGAAACATCGTTTTAATACAAGTAAAGGAATATAGTTTTGATTTCTGTCATGACATAAGTAGATCTACAAAATGATATAATGAAATTGTTGAATATATCACCACAAATAATACATGCTTAAAACATTGCACTGTCATCATATAAGAAGCAGCATTAAATACATTAACAAGCATTTTTATCTCAATTTCAAAATACAAAACAATATAAACCTCAAAAACGTATGTAAACAAGGCCAGAAATGACACTGAATAGCAATTTGATAGTACAATTGTTGATTCTTGTACAAAAAAAGA